TCCAAAACGGCTCAATTAGAAAAGGAGAATGTTGTATATTTGCATTTCTGCGTGAATGTGTGCATTGCCTAAATGTTTGTGTACATTTTTATATGTGTGTGTGTGTGTGTGTGTGTGTGTGTGTGTGTGTGTGTGTGTGTTGGAGAGAGAGAGAGAGAATGGATGGTTGTTTTTTTATCATAGAGTACTACTCAGCAGTCAGTGCTCCCAAGGTCATGCTCGGTGCTGGAATGACAGCTATTTCCTCCTTCACTCCGGAGAAATGTCTGCTACTTTCCAAAAAAAAAAAAAGCCACTCTACTACTGATCAGACTGACCAGATTAACTTATTTTTTTTGGCAAATGCACATCATGCTTATTTGATTAAACATGCCATCTCTGAATCACGCTAACTTGCATCGTGTTTTTGATCAAATTAAAGCTCAGAACTGTCCGCAGGCCGAAATATGGTAAAGTGCAGAGCCTACGGGCGAATCTGCTACTTATGATCCCATGGGTTACAATGGCGGTTGTGTTAAAGTATTTTCTGCTGCTGATATATTCCAATTTCTCAGCTGTATGCACCATTGATTTTGTATTGATGTGTAAGTGAAATGGCCTCAAGGCAAATCCTTCTATGGGGAGCCAGTGTTGTTCCAGCTCTTATAAGGTATTGTGAGCAGGATTTGAGTTTCACCTTGTTGGTCTGGAGCTGCTTCATCCGATCAGGTTTCATGCATTCATCTAAAGAAAGATAAGAAGGCGATACAGAAAGGGTGCGATGGATTGGGCTAAATTAGGGGCTGTCTTTGCTTCCTGCTGCTTGTAAGAGTGCTATGAACTGATGCTAACCATCCTTTAATTTGGTTTTCCACAAATACTAAGTTGTCAAGACTGCAAAATGACACAAGACAGGCACATGATTTAAGACATTTAGTTCACAACAATGATACAAAAAAGGCGCTTAGAATAAGTATTTTTCAGATACATCTATAAATTGTTAATCTTAGAATCGAGCATGCACATATCTGCAACTAAACATAGAACAATATGTAACTACCACATCGAACCACAACTACAGAGTGGCTGCAATTATTAATGTTGGTTCCTTAGCCTAATCCTATATACCATGGTTACAGTAACAAGTCTCCATGTACACTCTCTAACGCTCTGCTCTACTGCTGCCTGATACATGCAGAAGGAAGTATGTGTATGCTGGGAAAACATTTTAAATGAGCAGTGAGGTATTCTAAAAGTATTCTCCTCACATAATCAAAAATACTGATGTTTTAAAGTATAACAGTGACTGAATACAGATACTTCATTTCTATTGTCTAAATACAGATTTTGAATACTCCTGTTATAGCCAAACCCTGAACACACACAGCATACTGGAGCATGAAGCAGATATGCATGTAAGCACTGTGTGCATTACTTAACCATGCATGCACACTGGCTCACTGAGCAACCAGAGAAAACCACCAAGCCTAAAACAACCCCCCTATTGCAAGAGAGAGACATTTGGACTCTTTTGCATGCTTTTTCTTCATAACCTACTTCTTTGTATCTGTATTGTTCATACAGATATACGTAAACCCAGAAGTGCACATGAAAGAATAAGAAAAATATACCGTGACTATTAACTGGCCAAATGCCGATGGAGTGACATCATGTCCATGCAACAACAATGATTCGTATCAGCTGTAGAAACATGTTGCTATTTTAAAACACTGATGCTAAATGTCAGGCCTCTCAGAAAGCAGTGTGTCTCGCCAGACTATTTTGCAGTAATTCTTAACAGTCATACAAGATGAAATCATTTAATTGCAGCATGTGTCATGTCGTGTTGCATTTGAGAAGGGTTTTGGAGGTTTATATAAAACTAAATGCACTCTCGCTCTGTCTGTGGAGAACTAGTAATGAACTAGTAATATACTGTAGATGAAGATGGAAGCAGGAAATAGACAACAGTTCATGATTAAAACGACTGGAAAGCACTACAAATCTGAGATGAATGATACATGCTGGTAGTGAGTTGAATTCCAGCAGGGACTTTTCCTTTCATCTGTTTCACTCACAGGCCACTTAAAGGGGACCTATCATGCAAAATGCACCTTTGTACGTCTTTTATACATGAATATGTGTCCCCGGTGTGTTAGGGAACTCACCAAGTGTCAGAAAACATACATGTAAGCCTCTCTCTTTTCCTCCATACCCAAAATCTCTAAAAACGGGTCTGGAACGGATCTAATACTGATCCAGATTTAAAAATAGTCTGATGTCAGTGACGAGTAGCTCCGCCTATATGGCCAACTCTACACCTATCAGGGGAATGAGAGGTTGCCGTGGCATGGTAACAGCATGGTAACAGCATGGTAACAGCATGGGAACAGCATGGTAACAGCATGGTAACATGACGCTCTTAACTCGGCCCCCTCCTTTGCAGGGGGGCGTGCACGGTAACATGACGCTCTTAACTCGGCCCCCTCCTTTGCAGGGGGGCGTGGTCAGCTGCAGCGCATGCAAAGACAGGGTGGAGGAGAGGAAAATAGAGCGAAATGAGGCATGGCTAAAATGCATGATCTGTTTGGTATTTTGAAAAAGAAAACGTATAAATATTCCTTATATAGGTACGGCCCTACAATATATTATTCAAATATAGCATGATAGGTCTCCTTTAAAGGTGGGGTAGGTAAGTTTGAGAAACCGGCTTGAGATACACTTTTTGTTATATTCCATGGAATGCTCTTAACATCCCGATAGCAATGAATATATTAAGTGCTTTGACAACAAATCCATAAAAAAATGTCATCTGTGGAAGCCGTGGCGCTGTAAAAAGCACGACCAATCATTTTAGCCGGCCCGGCTAAAATAACTGGATGGCCTACCTGCCTGTCAGCCTTCCATCTGTGCACAAACTTATCTCGTGCCCTCATTGGTCATGTGCGCGTTCGTGTGTGTTGGAGGAGGGGCTCTGTTAGGAAGTAACAGATTTCTTCCGGCTGTGTATTTTCAAATTCTAGCGCACTCGAGCTGGTTTCTCCAAAATTACCTACCCCACCTTTAATGATAGCTGATGAGGGAAGAGTGTTAGTCATTTCTCCTGCCAGGGTTTTCCAAACTAATTTGCAGGATAGGAGTTGCCTTCTTTCCACAAGTTTAATTATCAGGGATTTTTGGCATTCAAAATAATGTAGAATACTGATTTCAAAAAGACTGGTTTAATAAGATGGGAGCCTATGCAACTGGGAAGTTTCAAACTGAGGGAATTGTATATTCATATAGCAAACAAAGTTTTAGGTGAATATTCTGAGTGAAAAGATGGAGATGGCTGTTCATATGAGATGTCAGCCTGCACGTCTCTGATGGAGAGCAGGCAGGATGAGTGATGCGCTCAGCCAGCATCAGCAATAACTCTGAGCTTATTTCATCTATATGGTTGTAGAGGCCTGTCAAAACGTTGCATGTCAAGGAAACCCAATTATATAAACTGCCTTGAATTGTCCTCTGTCTACCTGTCTTTAACATGTCTACATTCTCAGTCAATGATCTGAAATTAACCCTTCAATTACTTGGAAAAAGACTCTAACCGAAAGAGTAAAGCAGACTTCAGTGGGAGGAAAAATAATGAATGCATTTCCGATCGACTATTGCTCTTTTTTTAGGCGAACCGCCCACTATTCGAGTCATCGGGAGTATCTGCCTTGCTGAATGCCACTTATCCTCCTGTTACTGCTGCCAGGGCAGTCAGGGTAATGGTTTCATCTGCAGAGATGATCTAATAAAGAACTGTAGAGAAGTTGAAGGGGTTCACTCATACTCAGTTATTGACAGATTTCAGTCCGATTTAAAGTCTTGGCTGTCTCTCATGACACAGATCTTACTTTCTCATATTACTGTACCCCAATATCGACTGACTGAGTAACATTTTGATGTCTTTTGAGCTGTGTAATACCACATTTTGTTGGATGTTAGTGAATTAACACTCAATATTATCCAACATAAGCTACATAGGAGAAACAATTGAAAACAAAATAGAGCTTCAGGCTGCATGCTCAGTTATTTCTGTTCAAGGCTGAACATTTTCTCCCCAAGTAGGTGGCTCCGATGAGTCACTCTCAATGGCCCTCAGGCGCGAGCACTTACATTCCCTATGAATAATATAAGTACTTAATTAAAACAATGTGAACAGGATGAAATACAAAAGGATATTCCTAATTATCATAGTGTTTTTTTCTCGAGGGCATAACACTATTTTTGTACTATTTTCTACCAGCGTACAAACAGTACCCACAGGCACCATCTCACCAATTACTGTTTGTTTCATTGAATGTTTAGTAATCATTCAATCGTAACAATGGAAATGTATAAAAGTAATAATGACAGAAACAGTTGCTCCTCCATGCTTACTTTCAAGGTTGTCATAGCAACTGCATCTGTCTGGAGCAGAAACATTATGGGATACAGATAAAACAAGACATCATCTGTGCCCTGGGGCCACAGCATTTCTTCCATTTTAGATTGTACACCTTTTAAGTGCTGTAAGATATGACTGAGCACATTAATATAAGCCTGGAGGTCTATTAGGAAACTGTCTTTCCTTCCAATTCAAGACTTTTAATTTCTCAAAGGGAAATTGCAGTCATTTTATCACACTAGAATAAATGAAGCTGACAATGAAGACATATATTCTGTCTATTGTTCCAAATTTATTTTTTGTTGACTCCTGATTTTGCCTATCTGACCTTCTCCTTTTTTTACTTGTGTGCAGGCATCAGGCCACCCATAATGAACGGACCCATGCACCCCCGCCCCCTGGTGGCGCTGCTGGACGGGCGAGACTGCACGGTGGAGATGCCCATCCTGAAAGACGTAGCAACCGTGGCCTTCTGTGACGCTCAGTCCACACAGGAGATCCACGAAAAGGTAACAATGAGACCATGTACACACACACACACACACACACACACACACACACACACACACACACACACACACACACACACACACACACACACACACACACACACACACACACACACACACTATAAGTAAGGATGTATCTAGGAATGAACTGTATGGATTTTTCTCGCTGAATCAGGTAACTGATAATGACTTGCTTCTCGTAGCCAATACCGATTAAATAACTGATTATTTAAGTATATTACCTGTAGCTTTGGCACACCTGAGGGTAAGAAAGGCTAAGATGTAGTGAGCAAAACATAAAGGTGAAATTGTTCTGACTATTCATGTTCATTTATTTTTTAAAAGAAGTACAACAAAAAGCTTGCTGTACTGAAAATTGCAATCCTGTTGAATTCCTCTGAAACTGTAAAAAACCTCCACATCGGCAAACCATTAACCACTAGGGCTGACTTTTGAAGCCGGGTAAGAAAGATGCAGTTTGTCATGGCCTGAAGTTCGAGTATAACGATATATTTCAATCATGTGTAGTTTTCTATTAGGAATGCATCAAATATATATCAATATATCCAACATTAATACATCTCCCATGCTTCTCTTTTGGAACATTTTGGGACATGTTTGATTTAGAAGTCTGCACTGATCAGAGTTGTGTTTGCTCTATCAATATGATATCAGAGGTAATTTGATTTAACGCTTGAAAACATCCCGTCAGATATCTTTGATACCACAGATGTTACGTAAGTATGTACGTTGTATATTTCAACATTTACTTCAAAAATAAGTTATGTTTCATCTGTTACAATTACAATTCATGATGTGGTTACATCACCAAGTCTTAAAAACGGTTCCTGTCAGATATATCAGATGCAAATGCACCTCATTTGTGTTATTTAAATGATTTGATTACAAGCAGAGTTGTGCGTAAATATCTTGCAATAAAACATGAATGCTCCTGTTTTTGCCAGTCTATTGGACATAACGTGAACCGTGTGTATTGCAATTTCATTAAAAAAATAAAGTAAAATGGATTAAATGAAGGAAAATCAAAAAGGACAGCAGAATCAAAATGTAGGTCAGGCTGGGATCTTGTCGTTGTGGATGGTAAATGGGTTTGTGTGTCTGGCAGCGCTGCGTCTTGTTCTGGGTGTCTGCCAGGCACACGCTCAGTAACCCACGGCGATGCAGAAACAGATGGCTTTCCCTCGTCCACCAACTATCTCTCCTACTCTCTCTTTATCTGGCTCTCGAGCAGGCTGCCACCTCATTGTATAATTAAAAGGGTTTATTTATTGTAATTGAACCGCATGTCATTTTCATCCTCACACACGAGGATGAGAGCTGCCAACGTTAGAAAAAAGATTGGAAGATTAACTGGGAACCAATTCAAAGGTGAATAAGATACGTTATACACAGCCATGTACTGTATGTGTGCGCTTTGCACTTGAAAATTTAACAGGTCTTCCAGTCTTTTTATCTTAATATTTAAAAAAATTCAAAGTAATTGTCATATTTTTTGTATATTTCCTTTACTGTGTTCATTTACATTTTTTGTTAACTTTATTTTTTAATATTCTTTTTTTAAGTTTTAAAATAGTCTCATATTTGCTCTTATTTTACAACGTAGTATTACTTAACATTGTAGACCAAAGCAAACCCCTTGTATATGTAAGCCTACCTGACAATACACTTGATTTGGATTTGGATATATCCCCATTTTATTCATATTTTTTAACAAATTCTTATAGAAAACGTCCCATTATAGCAATACATCATCATTTGGTCAGTAAACTTGATTCAGATTTTATTATATTCCTATTCTTTAAGATAATAAATCAGTTTTTAAATAATAATATTTTTCAATTAAAACAATGAGCCGTAGTCCTGATGAGAACACCATGTGAGAAAGATTCTTGCTGATTTCAGGCGCTTCGTTCGATGCAGAGACACCTTATCTCCATTCCTGTGGTTAAGAAAGCTTAGTTTCCATGGTAATATTCAGGAAAAGCGGTCCTTCCATGCGGGCAGGGATATTAAAAAACAGGATGTGAGAACGATATAAAAAGCATATCCTGGACATTTTTTTACCTCAACCGAGAAGCTGAGTTTGCGGAAAATGTGTGACTGTGAACTAGGTGAACTCTGGTTGCTGAAAATCACTCAAGCCTTTTCTGTGGAGAAACGCTTGACGTGCTCACACCTACACAAACACATGCTAATGACATTAACATTTGGTCTGTATGTACTGTTACTGTACTTAAAGAACTCTTCTATTCATTTGCAACCAGACACACTTTTACACATGGCTAAGTAAGGCTGCATAGATTTTGACACGTCAACCATCACATGCCAAACATGTCACACACACGCACTTGTTGCTAGTGATTTATCATTTAAACGACTCAAGCTGTTTTTGTGTTCAGGTGCTGAATGAAGCTGTAGGAGCTCTGATGTACCACACCATCACTCTGATGAGGGAAGACCTGGAAAAGTTTAAAGGTCTTCGCATCATCGTCCGCATCGGCAGCGGCTACGACAACATTGACATCAAATCTGCCGGAGAGCTGGGTAAGAACACACACACACACACACACACACACACACACACACACACACACACACACACACACACACACACACACACAAAATGTATTGTGTGTAAACAATTTCAGAGGGCGGCAGCTATGTTTTGTTTTCCCCTGCAATACCAGGTATTCTCAGGGAGCTCAAACCATAATGTTTGTTTGCTAACATAGTTCATGTAAATGGCTTGTTTAGACATAAGACAACATTTAACTCCAGAGATTATGATAGCTCCTTTTCACATTACGCTGTCAGCCTTTTATTTGTTCCAGAGCCAAGCTTAGGGCTAGATAACTGGCACACCTAAATGAAAAAGAGCCATTGTTGATGTTATGAATACATACAAATAGTCTTGATCGCATTCATATGCTGTTTTAATATGCATAAACAACAAGCTATAAAAATCAGACAGTTTTGTTGTCAGTACTGTGTTGTGTTTACTGTATACTATTTTTACTCATAAGCAGTGTACTTTACTGCTGCCAGCCAATAAGGATTGCAACAAGGCAGTACATTTAGTATTTCAAAGTGAAGTGAGCAAGGCTTTTTAATAAAGCTGTCCTGCAGCGGCAGAGCTTTCCTAGCGTCTCCTATCTCCTTCCACCACGACGCTGTGCAATTTGAAAGTTGCCAGTAGCGTTTGAAGAGAAAACTGCTGACACAAAATCTTACGCCTGCACTTCTCCGCCAAACTAGCTTTAACCAAACTTCATCAAATGGCCAAAAAAGCTATTACTAATCCTTATCTGCTTTCTGCTCCAACAGGCATAGCTGTGTGTAACATGCCGGCGGCGTCGGTGGAGGAGACGGCGGACTCCACGCTGTGTCACATCCTCACCCTGTACCGACGCACCACCTGGCTGCACCAGGTCTGTGAGCTTTGGTGGATCATTAAAGGGAACAAAATGAATTGCATGTCATTGAACTAACTCTAAATGTGGAGGCTACCGGTGTATATTTAGTTATAACAATTCTAGTTTCGTCAATTGATATTAACCGTCTGACAAATCAGCAAAATTGAAACGTTTCATTTTCTTGAGCATGTAGCTGTCTTTGAAAGACGTTTATCTAAGATGTAGAAGGTATAGTAAAATGATTTGTTCCTCAAATCAGTTATAGTTAGGGTTGCAAAATTCCGGGAATTTTCAAAGATGGAAACTTTCCATGGGAATTAACGGGAATAAACGGGAATTTATGGGAATGGGAATAAACTGGGAATTTTCAAAATTGAAGGTTGGCTCTTCATAGGGAACTTGAATATAGTTGGGGAAAGTATATTTTAGCATAATCTTGACTAAAACAAACAGATGCCATTCAAGTACACTTGAATATCCATGCCATAGCTGCTTACTGCATGGCTATTGAGACCACACAAAGGTTCGCAACAGGCTCACAAATGTGAGAGTGGAAAAACTGGTTGGCATTCGGGCAAACCTAAGGCTCTTTGAGCGTGACACAGAGCCATCCTCAACAAGGCTGGACAGTGACACTGAAGAGGAAGACTCAGAGTGTGATGTTGATGAGGCCCAGGAAGAGCCCGTTGACTGAAAGGGTTTAGCCAAAATGCAGAGGATTGTTTGAAAGAAGATGTGCATGTTTAATGGGACTGTTTGGAGGGAGAAGGGCTCTTTTCATTTCACATTTTGAATGGGACTTTGTGGGGATTTTTGGATGGGGGGTGCATTTTTGAATAATGACTGGGGTTGGGCGGGATGAGTAATATTTAACTCAACATTCCTGTTTTCGTTCTTTAATGAAACAAATAATTGTTAAATAAAATAATTCAAATTGTTCTGTTCTACTTAAAAAAATTAAAAATAAAATCTGTTGAAATGTCAATTTTGTTTTCAACCATGGAAACTTTCTGGAAATGTACCGGAAACTTTCCGCCCCTTTGCAACCCTAGTTATAATTATGTGGACTTCATAATCATGATCACAATATCTGAAAGGATTCAGACTGTCGGTGATTAAATGCAGCCGCTAAGAAATATACATCTGGATTGTGTTTTTGTTGTCTGAGGGATGTTAGCGTATAATAATGAGTTGTTCTTCATGGCAGGCGCTGCGGGAGGGCACGCGGGTTCAGAGCGTGGAGCAGATCCGAGAAGTGGCGTCAGGAGCGGCGAGGATCAGAGGAGAGACGCTGGGACTTATAGGGCTCGGTGAGCAACGACACACACGATGTAATGCCTCTGCAGTGAGACCTGCTGAGCATACTGCTGTAAAACATACTGCTGTAAAAACAGCCCTGGAAGTCTAGACAGAGCAGCAGCTCTGTAAGGCTGAATGAAAATGCAGCAGTGCTACTTGCAATGAGAACATCTTGATGCATAGCCGGTATAATGTTTACCATGTTTAGCCTCTTAGCTGAGAATGTGAGCGTGCTCATGTTTACTAATTAACGTCAATGGTTTAAAGTGACTGGAAAATCTTTTCCAAGTTATTTACACTTGTCACAGGTTATTAATAAATGCAGCTTGAGAGACATGAATGTTTTTACTAAACTTCATGTTGCATCCATTTTATAGTTTCAGTTTTGAACAGTGTGTTAGCCTGATGTTTCTATGCTGCTAGCGCCGCTAAAAGCTTTTATTTTTGTTCATTTTGTCTGATAGAGTGTGGTCAGACTTTTTAATCAAGGCATTTTTTTCCCTCTCTTTTCCATTTTCATTTTTGTCCTTAGCTCAGCTAAATTGGCTTCCTAAGGAGTTAATGCCAATAAAATATAAGCGGATTACCCAGAGGCAGAATGCAAATCTCTCCGAGTACAGTCTGAACGCTTTTTTCAGGAAACTAAGCAGACATGTGTAGCCAGAGAATTATGAAAATATACAAGGAAAACTTCAAAGAACATAATATCAAACCCCTTATTTTTTAAATTATTTGTATTTAATTTGTCTAAATGCTGCTTCGTGTGATTTCAGGTCGGGTTGGCCAAGCCGTTGCCCTGCGAGCCAAGGCCTTTGGCTTCAATGTGATTTTCTATGACCCTTATTTAGCTGATGGTGTAGAAAGATCCCTGGGACTACAAAGGGTCACCACACTACAGGTAGCACACACAACAACAAACACACACACAAACATCAGGTATGATTTTATTTCAGAGAAATCAGGAACTTTCAAATGTTTCCAGCATTTTCCAGTGTGTTATATTCATATACAGTGGGGCAAAAAAGTATTTAGTCAGCCACCAATTGTGCAAGTTATCCCACTTTAAAAGATGAGAGAGGCCTGTAATTTTCATCCTAGGTATAACTCAACTATGAGAGACAAAATGAGAAAAATCACATTGTCTGATTTTTAAAGAATTTATTTGCAAATTATGGTGGATAATAAGTATTTGGTCAATAACAAAAGTTCATCTCAATACTTTGTTATATACCCTTTGTTGGCAATGACAGAGGTCAAACGTTTTCTGTAAGTCTTCACAAGGTTTTCACACACTGTTGCTGGTATTTTGGCCCATTCCTCCATGCAGATCTCCTCTAGAGCAGTGATGTTTTTGTTGGGAGTTTTGGTCAGTGTGAGGTTTGAGGTGATACCGGTTCTGGTTTCTTCGACAGTTTCCTGTGGTCTTTATTTTTAATTCTGGACGTAGGTCCGACCCTTTCTGGACTTAGAACGTTATACCATTGTCGAACCACACTTCGTTAGTTGACCACCATCGTTTAATATCTTTTACCCTTCTGTATGTTCGGGTGACTATTGAGGAGGGAGCTAGACCCCGAGGTGCGTTCTAGAGTGGGGCACCCCAGTTTTTACTAAGTGTTCTTGCCACTACCTCGTTTTTAGGGTCTTTGGTGTGCCCCCCTGGATCAGGTTAACTGGACGTCTCTCGACCCTTGGTTCGATTGTTTCCGATGGTAAGTCAATTGTGTGATGCGGCGGTTCCCTGAGTTTAGGACGGTCGACGGTCTGCACAGGGGGGACGAATTCGGTCATGTACAGGTCCGGGGCAGACTTTCAACGATCTCTCGTAAATCTACTAGTACTTCTCCTAACCCTCTTACAGTATTCAAAGTCTACTTTGGTTTTTATCTTTGAAAAACCCATTTTTTTGAGTTGATCTGCACAAACCTCCTCTTTCTTAAGACTCAAACGTAGGTTTCTTGTGGTATGACGACCACCTTTGTACCCCACCTTTGTAGTACGAAACCCCGCCAAAAAGACGTTTCCCTGGTCCCTTACTGACTAGGCACATTTCCTTTCTTACTTAACCCGGTACATAGGCACTCTTAAAACTCACTGTTGGTTGAGGTAAGGTAGTCGTGTCCCGTAACTTCTACTTTGCACCGACCCAGAAAGTCGTACTGTTAACTAGGGTGTTGTGTGAACGGGGCCCGTTGCTTCCTCACCGAAGCATTCTTCGTAAAGTTCCAGGACCTCACCGGATCGGTCGAGGTCTAGAGGTTGGGGTATCTTTTTAGAAACCTCCGTCATCTTTCAGACACAACGGGTC